CCGACAGGAATCCATATATCTAACAAGGCACCAAACATCCTGGTATCAACATTAATGTATACATCTTTCAACACATCTAAAATCACTGTGTCAACATCAGTGCATGCATTTATCAAGATATCAAGCATCATTGTAACAACACCAATGCATACATTTACCAAAATATCAAGCCTCATTGTATCAACATCAATGCATACATTCATCAAAATATAAAGCCTCATTGTATCAACATTAAGGCATACATTTATCAAGGTATCAAAATTGCTCTGTCGACATTAATGCACACATTTATCTATACATCAGACACCATTATTCCAGAACGATCCATACATTTATCAAGATATCTGTCATCACCATACTGATACAAATTCATACCTTTTCCAACCTTTTTGTACACCATAATACCGGTCAAAACCACACTAGTTAATTCATTAAAATGTCGAATGCAGTTATCAAGACGTGCATATACATGCGCCTGGCGATGTTATACACAAACATATCTACACGAATGCTGCCAGTGACATCCAAGACACTTCAGTATCGTACCAACATGAATGCATACACGTATCAAGACGTTGGTCAACATTTTACCAACATGAATGCACACACATTCTCAAGACGTTGATCAACATTTTACCAACATGAATGCATGCACTTATCAAGACGTTGGTCAACATTTTACCAACATGAATACATACACTTATCAAGACGTTGGTCAACATTTTACCAACATGAATGCATACACTTATCAAGACGTTGGTCAACATTTTACCAACATGAATCCACACACATTCTCAAAACGTTGGTCAACATTTTACCAACATGAATGCATACACTTTATCAAGACGTTGATCAACATTTTACCAACATGAATGCATCCACTTATCAAGACGTTGGTCAACATTTTACCAACATGAATACATACACTTATCAAGACGTTGGTCAACATTTACCAACATGAATGCATACACTTATCAAGGCGTAGGTCAACATTGTACCAACATGAATGCATACACTTATCAAGACGTTTGTCAACATTTTACCAACATGAATGCATATCTACAACCAGACACCTTGGACACAATTATCAGACCAAGAGCATATACAAGGAAATATATTGTGACTTACTTTAATAATATACGGACCTCATTACCAGATCTCGAGAGTAAGAACCAAGTTAGCGTTTGAAGCCTCCGCTTTACATTAAAGGAATTAATTTAAAGAAGGATATATTTTCTACAATTGGGTGCTACGAACATTTAAATTATCACGATTTGGATCCTATTAGGCAGATAGCAGGGAAACCATGACAACGTTTTATATATTTCCTCATAATTTCTTCTACTCCATGATGCTTTAAGATGATTCCTCTAGATTCGCTAAGACTTCAGTGGAGGGTTTTATTCTAATTCTACATCAGCTCCTATCCGCAGCTAATAACATCCCTCAAACTCATACCGTAAATTACCAAGAATATGTGATAAAAATTTGGTTGATAGGATTATGAACCATTATTCTTCCTTTGAAGCACTATCTAAAATCCAAATCAAACCCGTCAGTATTAAAGGCGTGAGTTCAAAGGCATACAGAGAGAGAATGCATTGCAGGAACCGTATATTACTGACTTTCCATGTGATTTGTAATGTTGCTGGAATAAAAAACAGATGTCCCTGTCTCTGAGATTACAAATAACTCACGGAAAATCAAGCAAATTGTTGCAGAATTTCTGCCAGACTTGCAATTTGAACATTTTTATCTTTTCAGAGGCTCTTATTAATTCTCCTGAGAGGAATCACGTTACACACTCACTTAAACAAGACACCACAGTTCCAAGTTACCAGAATGACCCATTAACTGACATTGAACCAGTTAACATTGTTACACGTTTGAAACTTGTAATCTTAATTCAATATTTGTCAAGTCGGTGACTTTAAGTTTTTTGGAACTGAAAATAGAGCGAAGGTTTTAAATCTCGATTGTTTATTGACAATCAGTTGTGTTATTGTCAAAGGGGTTGATTTGTTGCCAAAGGTGGTTTGTTTTATCGACAATAAACTATACCCTTCGTGATTACGTGAGATGGGTTTTATGTAATTTAGCTTCTTGTGGTTTGTGTTTGCCGTATTGTAATCACATTCGAAGTTTTTCTGGGGTTATTTGTTTGAAAACTCTTACTATCTTCTCTCAGGTATCATTGCCTGTTGCGCTACCAATACTTACAGCTGTACAGCCGTATTGCGGAACACTGTGTCTTTCCATCCGTTGTCATAGCGACGGGGATACTACTGAATACTTTAAAAAGGTTATTAGCGCTCTCGTATACCACGCAAAGAGTTTTGTAGAATTAGATTTTCTTCAGGGGTTGCGAAAGATGCACATTGAGCTGATATATAGAAATAATCCAATCCCAAACCTCATATACTATGATATGGTATAAAATATTTTCTCTTGTTTAAAGGGATGTAGGATGTTTTACATACTGACATTTCTTATGTTATTATGCCATTTAAAAATTTCCCAGGGCAACTAAAGTCTCTTTGCATCAATCAGCAATCATGGTGATGGTTTGTGTGTTTATATGTTGGTTGTTTTCAACCCTGCACTCAGCAATATACAGCTTTATGTTGGCAGTCAGTCTTGACCAACAATCCAGTGATCAACATCATGAGCATCGACCTACGCATCTGGGATACGATGACAATCGGCCAAATCACGGTGTGTGTGTCTAGGAAGCACAGAGAAGAATATCAACTTCGTGTACAAGACAAAATGCCCTTGTTCCTGACAATAACGTTCTAGTGAAAAATCCGAAATAATATTTTTCCGGATTCGAAAGATCACAGGCATGGAGAACCCTACATGAACCATCAGGGACACAATGCTCTTGTCCTTGTAGATGCTTGTGAGGCAGAATTTTACTGGACATTCTGTATTTTGATGGATCATCTGCCCGTGGAGCTGTGTGGTTCGTGAACTTCGTGTCCGTTGCCATACAATAATACGACACAGGACGGTACTTGTTGTTGCTCTAACTAGCCCTTTATTAAAGGGTTACAACAAGGAGTCGGTACAATGTGTCTAAGTTAGGTGTGCATGTTAAACTGCGGACTGACATTCAAGGAAGGCATAAATCCCCCTCCTTCCCCCATACACGTGAATGTACGTGTTTACACTTGTTATGTATAACTTCACTGACATTAAATGTGATGATGATGATGATGATGATGATGTTGATGATGATGACGATGATGATGATTTGGAGATTTAACGTGCGCTTTCAAACATAATACGTATTTCGCACACGGAAAACCACTTGTCACTTTACCTCACCTTTTAGATGAGTGAGTGAGTGAGTATGTTTTTCGCCGCTTTTAGCCATGTTGCAGTAATATCGCGGCGGGGGACACCAGAAATGGGTTTCACACATTGTACCCATGTGGGGAATCGAACCCGGGTCTTCGGCGTGACGAGCGAACACTTTAACCACTAGGCTACCCCACCGCCCCCTTTTAAATGAAGTGTACTGATATGTAAAACTACTATCAACACCTGTAACATTGCATTACTCGGCACCGAACGAGTACTGATGTGGTATTTACAAACCTAGGATTCTATCCCTAATCGTTTCGATTTTTAGATTTTAGATTAGAACCCAAGACCAACGGATCTCAGCTTCATCGTGGACCTCCCGTGCCTATTCCCCATACCGAGCCAGAGCACACCGCTGAAGCTGAGCCCCGTGTGTTTGACTTCAGGTTCAGTTAACAGAAGTGTGTATACATCAAGGTTCACATTTCTGTCCGGATCTTTTATGCTCCCTAAACATTTAATGACCCCCTGACGTTTTGGAATGCATCGATTTGGAATTTTGCAGCGTTCAACTGTCACTGTCATTTAGGCGTCTGTTAGACTGTAAAATTAACCTGTTTCCTTCCCTTGATATGTAGCCATTAAGACCTCAATTTATTTTCGTTGCATCACGCACACTGGAAGACAGTAATCAAAGTGACAAACCTAAAATCTAAAACATCGAATTAGAATAAAAGGATTTGTGGAACTTTAAACACACAATGGCAAGAAAAGACATGCCGGTTGTCAGCTATTAACACAATCGATAAATCGTGTTTTTAACTAATTCGAAAGAACAATACATGTATATTGTATGTACGTGTATGGAAACTGACGTGGGGGTCATTAAAAGGTTTCAAACGGATTGGTTCATTTGTGTGAGTGTCATATGACATTAAAAAACGAGTGGATCATTTCCCGAGAGAAAAGGCAACAATTTAGGATAGTACACGATTCTGGCGTGCCAGTCAGAAATGTACTTTACAAGTCTCCACAAAATTCTTGCAAATGCAAGACCAACTGCACAGGTGTCGATTCCTTCAATAACATATGCGGTAGTAGGTAATGTCGTTCATTCTCTACAGTACGAACATTCAGTTGCTGGAGGCATTATTAGCAAGAACTCTCACTCATATAAATCTAGTGAAGGCCTTAGGTTCAAGTCATAATTTAAACCAGTTTAAGTGGTAGGCATCAGGCTACTGAAAAAAGATCACGTTTAGTAAACAAATGTAATTTATACTTTGATGATGCCGACAAAATACCGGATACCAGTTAGAGTGGTATGCATCAGGCTATTGAACAAAGATCGTACGAAAAGTAAAACTAACCACACTTTCACTAGGCCAATATAATTTATACTTTGATGACATGCAATTGACCGCTGAACTTGCCCAGTGACAGGAATTGGTTTTAAGACGTGGCATGCCCTTTCGACTCCATTTCTTATCTTATAGCTTCCCCAAGGCCTGACAGGTTTGACTTGGCTACTCCCACAGGCGTGTGCCAAGCATGGTGAGACCTGGCCATACAAAACCAAAGCGCACTGTCTGCCCCAGGCAAAGAGGACGTATGCATTTTCTCATTAAACAACAAATGTAGCTTTAATCTCTTTTATCATGACTGACCGGAATCTCTAAATAAAAGGTACCACAAACACCCTTGATTACACAGGACCAGCGATAAGCGTTCACTTTTACAATGGCTGGCCCTAAAGGTAGGTAAATTGTGCTTATACTCGTGTTATTTAAAGGTTGAATTATGCATAAAATGCCCGCGTTCGTGTTGATAATGCACTTAACTACGGTTATACCGAACCCAAAGGCCACTGATTATAGGTCGTTATACGCATCTCGACTGGAATATATGACAAGTGACCGGAAAGGTTCGTTATATCGATCAGACCTTTATATACATGTTGGTTATAAACGTACTTATGTTCTTGACAGGTCAAGGGGCGGTAGGGTAGCCTAGTGGTTAAAGCGTTGGCTCGTCACGCCGAAGACCCGGGTTCGAATCCCCACATGGGTACAATGTGTGAAGCCCATTTCTGGTGTCCCCCGCCGTGATGTTGCTGGAATATTGCTAAAAGCGGCGTAAAACCAAACTCAGTCAGTCAGTTGACAGGTCAAGCCACTGTTGTAAGTGAGTGAATTTAGTTTTACGCCGCTTGTAGCACTTTACCAGCAATATGACGGCGGGGGACACCAGAAATGGGCTTCACACATTGTACCCATGTGGGGAATCGAACCCGGGTCTTCGGCGTGACGAGCGAACGCTTTAACCCCTAGGCTACAAAATCGCCCCTAAAGTGACTATCACAGCCTGAGACACAAACACACAGTGTGTATGAATTATACAATGGTAATATACTGAACGTGATTTACACTTAAATCTGTTATCTCAGACAGCAGGTATATATATCACAGGGCCATAAAACACTTGTGACCCAGTTCACTTCATAGGCTTTTGAACACCTGCTTTGTCTGGCGCTGTTCAAAGCAATACATTTTAAAATTTAGGCAAAATTCACGTTTAAACGTGAGTTCAAACATCTAAAATAATAACATATATCTATTTAAGGTATATGCTCTTAGGTGTGGAAATAAATAGTTTGCTTTAGCATGAAAAGCACATTCTGAGAAGTATTGCAGAACCTTGTCGGCCAGGAGCCGATTAAATAAGAAACATATTCCTAAGATGGTGGCTATGAAGACTACCGAAAAAGTCATGAGAACATGTTAAACTAAAAGCATGTTCTGATTGCCATATATTTTATCAGTAATTCTGTAAAAGGACTCAAACACGTGAAGATCCGGGTAAGAATTGGTCTTAATCAACCCATGCTTGTTGTAAAAAGGCGACAAACGGGATCTGGTGGTCTGGCTCGCTAACACATGTCATCGTATCCCATGATGTTGATCACTGGATTGTTTAGTCCCGACGCGATTATTTATAACCCGCCACCATATATTTGGAATATTGCTTAGTGGGCGTTAAACAAACAAACAAACAAACAAACTGTAAAATGGTCCATAGTTGATCAGTTGTAGGTTCAAAATGTCCAGTGAAATCCTGCCACAATCATCTTCAAGGACAAGATCATAGTGTCCCCGATGGTTCATATAGGGTTCCCCTTATCTGTGATCTTTCGAAGCCGGAATAACATTACTTCGGACTTTTCACTAGAACATTACTGTCAGGAATAAGGGGATTGTCTTGTACATGAAGTTGATTGTTCTTTTCTGTGATTCCCAGACACACATTCCGTGATCTGGCCCAGTGGACCTTCACCCATGGAATGGATCAAGACAAAGCCTACAGCTATGTGGAGAGACAGCTTCAGGGAGGACGGATATCTGGTAAGAGTCAAAGAGCGTTAACAACATTCTGAACTTGTATACGCGAGTAAGTGAGGAAATGGGCGTAACGCTGCTCTGAACAGCGTTGCAGTTATATCGCGGTGTGTTAGTTTAATGTGAATAAACGGCCTGAAGTGACAGATACAACGGTGAGGGTGTTTCATTTATATCACGGCGCACCGGCTTGGAAACATTAAAGGGCAACCCGGGACTCTCGATCATATTCTCCCGGGGCCCGTTCCTCAAAGCGATCGTAGAGCTAAGATGATCCTAACTCCCATACTCTAACATAGACTTATGACTGTCGTAGCGCTACGAGAAGGTAGGTAACACTACAAACTCTCGATCGTAGGCTCTTGGCCATTAGAAGAGAGGTAACACTACAAACTCTCGATCGTAGGCTCCTGGTCACTAGAAGAGAGGTAACACTACACACTCTCGATCGTAGGCTCCTGGTCACTAGAAGAGGGTAACACTACACACTCTCGATCAAGGCACTAAAAGGGAAGCAACACTACAAACTCGATCGTAGGCTCCTGGTCACTAGAAGAGAGGTAACACTACAAACTCTCGATCGTAGGCTCCTCGCCACTAAAAGGGAAGCAACACTACAAACTCTCGATCGTAGGCTCCTGGTCACTAGAAGAGAGGTAACACTACAAACTCTCGATCGTAGGCTCCTGGCCACAAGAAGAGAGGTAACACTACAAACTCTCGATCGTAGGCTCCTGGCCACAAGAAGGGAAGCAACACTACAAACTCTCGATCGTAGGCTCCTGGCCACTAGAAGTTAGGTAACATTACAAAGTCTCGATCGTAGGCTCCTGGCCACTAGAAGTTAGGTAACACTACAAACACTCGATCGTAGGACCCCTGGCCACTTGAATGGAGGTAACACTACAAACTCTCGATCGTAGGCCCCTGGCCACTAGAAGAGAGGTAATACTACAAACTCTCGATCGTAGGCTCCTGGCCACTAGAAGGGAGGTAACACTACAAAGCAAACTGCGTCGCCTTTGATGCATATCGTCTAATCCTAACCAGCGCGTACGTCTTTGACGACTGGGTAAACATCGATCATTTGGTTTGTTGTTTGTTGTTAAACGCCGCATTCAGCAATATTCCAGCTATATGGCGGCGGTCTGTACAGAACCGAGTCTTGACCAGACAACCCAGTGATCAATGAGTTGTCAGTGAAATAAACTGCAGAAACAAAGCCGTACACATCGGCATCTTTGTCGGGATATTAATGATGTAAACTAGAACGTAGGTTTATATCGTTTTTTTTTAAATTTCCGCTAGCTCTAAATCTTTTTCCATCGCAGGTGCTTTTAACATTATACAGAAAAAGACAGCTGGGCAAACGAAGGGATGCATGATGGTGGCGTAATTTAAACAAATAGGAAGTGATTTTTCGATGGTGATGTATTTCATAAGGGTGTCGTGGCAGTGTTCTGATATAACGTTAGCAGGTTTTCAGCGACTGTCTTAAGCTTGTAACGTGTTTTAAGATTTTTGAAACGCAATGTTCAAATGTATACTTCCTTTTGCATGACAGTATACACTAAACGCCAAAAGAAACGTTACCCTTTTACTTTTATGAATTACTGAAAAACTATCAAAGATATGTTAGAAGGTATTAGTGTACAAGAAGGCTTAACAACACAGCTTTATGCAAATAACGAAAATAAATTCTCAAATCCATTCAAATTTAGGTGAAATGCATCTCTTTCAGAAGAGTTAAATTGTCCTATGTTCGTCTATGCCGAAATAAAACAATAACAGTGATTTTGATGTCCAAAAGAAAGGTTGAAATAAAATTTTGCTTTGGGACAATGATAAACCATTTAAAGTCACCATTTTTCAACTATTAAAACAAGAAACAACTGTTGTAGAGTGTGTAAAATTGTAAAATAATCATTCCTGTGACTTCAGTCTTCAAAAATATTTTCTGCTGATTTGTATTAGTTAAAACAAGTAAAACGTGTCTTTGATATTGTGAAAAAATGTTTAGGAACATCTAAAATTATCTTTGTTAACATTTTTGCTTGCAAAGTAACATTTTCCCATTTTCTGTTTACACATAGCAATATCAATCGCCAAAACGCAGCAATATTCAAGCGGTATTTGCATCCATTTCACTTGTAGAATGATTCTATAGGGTATGAAGAGGGCCTAGAATACGTGATATGATACACAAGTACGAGAAATATGCCACGATTAACAGTTGAAGAGAGAGAAAGAGCCATTGGGATGGTACAGATGGGGTCGACATACAATGCTGCTGCCAACGCCCACGGATGCCACCGTATCACGGTTATAAGATTTATTCAGGGTTTCAGACAGACTGGGGTCACCGTAAACAGACCGGAAATGTTTACGTCCACGCATCACAACGCCAGCTGAAGAAAGGTAGCGCCGTCATTGAAGAAGGAGGGTAACGTTTCTTTTGGCGTTTAGTGTATGTGTGAATAAGCGGAGTTAGGTTGCTGCAAGAATATAACTGCAATCTCACCGCCACGCATATATACCCGAGTCTAGGTAAAATATTCTTTGAAAGCATGATTAACACAGCCAGGATCAGTGAAAACCCAGTCAACCCCAGTTCAACAAAGTCATAGTATGACTATGATTGTTCTGAGGCTATTTAGAGAATGGATAGTTGTTTTGTGGAATAAGAAACAAGACACACATAATCAAATGCATGTATAACCACCGCTGACGTTGCCCAAGAGACGCCCTTTCATGATGGTTCCCTTGACCGTTGGCAACTCGAGAAAGCTTGTAGCGAAAGACTGCAGCTGTGGAAGTCATTGTTGACATTTGACAAAGGATAAACCCCCCAGCCGGACTCTCCAATTTGGGGTTCTAAAGACAAGCAATGTAAACTGCAAAGATGGAGTTTCTGTCCCTCTCTTCATCCCTTAAGGCGCGGGTCAGCTAAAGGTCTCTTTCTTTGAACCGCCATAAGTTTTGACTTCTCCTTAAGGTCAACATCAATTTCACGTGACGTTGATATTGAAAACAGTGAAACCATTGACGTCAAGTACAGCCTTCCGTATTTGACGATGGAGAAGCTGATAAGATCTACTGGATGCCATTAGATTAGATGTGAAGCCGGTGCAGTGGTTTTAGTTGGAGGCAGTGTTGATGGCTTGTTGCAATACCGTTGATGTAGACCCTTGAAATAAGCTTATAAATACGAAGAATGTCAGGCATTGATTTTGTTAGCCTTATGTTAGTTCGTTAAGAACAGAAAATGTGGTGGCTGAACCGAGTGTGGAGTGGAGATGTCGGTTTTGGGGTGAGGGTGGAGTGGAGATATGGGGGTTGGGGAGTGAGTGTAGTGGGGATGTCGGGGTGTGGATGTCGGGTTCAGGGTGGAGCGGGGATATCGGGGTTGGGGTCAGGGTGGAGTGGAGATATCGGGGTTGGGGTGAGGTTGGAGTGAAGATGTCGGGGTTAGGGAGAGCTGGAACTTTTTGTTAAATACATCGTTCCTGAAACATCAAGTATAATTCTAATGAGGTACATGTATGCCACAACAGAATATTCCTGCTATAAAACCACGTTCTTTCGTATAGCAGAATTATTCAATTATCACTGGCAGGCCTACCAAAGAAACATTTTCCATTGCAGAGAAATGCTGAAAAGTCCACATTAATCGTGGAAGTAGCAACATAAACATAATATCTCGCCACTTAAACAGTAAAAATGGTAACTTTAAAACTGGATTAAAAAATGAAGTACCTGCAACTCCGGTTTTGCGCATGCGCACATGGAAGAAGAAATCTCGACCGCCTGTTGACATTTTCCAGCTTGGACAAAGGTTATATTCCCTTTTTAAAGTATTTCTGTTGTGTTATTTGGCATTTATCATCTTGATACTTGTGCGCACACTTGTTTAGTATACTTTTCATTCGTATGAAATGATTGACAGCAATTATTTCGACACATGAAGTACCTTTTCTACGCGGGGCAATTCACGGTTGCTCGGATATGTAAAAGAAGCGCATGCGCAGTAGAGGTCAAAGTTCGCTGATATAAAACTGTTGCAGTTTCATAGTCTTTCGTTGCCGTTTTTACTTTTTCTGTAGCGAGGTAGTATGTTTATGTTGCTACTTCCACGATTAATGAGGGTTTTTCTATGTTTTTCTGCACAGTGGGAAAGTTTTCTTTGGTAGGCCTGACTGGACTACACCATCGTTAGACATTCCTATATTTTATTTCAACTTCGTGTAAAACTGCTGAATCAACAAAGTTTTTTAAACTCAAACCAGATCCGCACACATTATTTAAGTATCATTGCCATGGAATTAATAAGAATTTAAATGTGCGATGACAGGCATAGGTAATGTCAAGAGAGGACTCTTTTCCGGATATTTCAAGCTTGAAAACACCTATTTCTTCCAGTGTAATTGCTGACTACTCGATAGGTGCTTCAAATATGTTTTGCATTAAGACACAATTTACGTATGATTGCATTTACAATACGACCACATAAATCGAGACTTTATAAGCAAATGTAAGTGTGAGCGCAAATGTAAGTATAGTAATTCTCAACAGACAATTGATATGTTTTATATTCATAGGAACATAGCTACTGTTGCATTTTCGAAAAACAGCAGTTGTAGTGTACAAAAAATGGTATTGTATAACTGCATTTTCATTTTTTCTTTGATTCTGCTTTTCTGTCTGAAAGACACAGTGACAATGTATTGGATCATATTTCAATAAAACAAACCACATTTCGTACATCAGTTTCATCTTCCCCATAAATTGCTGAAAGATTTATATCGAGTGTCATATTCCTGATGAATAGATAACATTACGACACAAGGCTATAATGTACATGGTTCTTTTTTGATGCCATTCAAGTAGGAAATATGTTTTATTAATTGATGAATAGCATGTGAAATTGGATCGTTCTTTTTTCTTACGAAGCATTTAGCCTAGTGGTTAAAGCGTTCTCTCGTCACGCTGAAGACCCGGGATCGATCCCCCACATGGGTACAATGTGTGAAGCCCATTTCTGGTGTCGCCCGTAGTGATGTTGCTGGAATATTGCTGGAATATTGCCAAAAGCTGCGTAAATCCAAAGCCACACCTTTACTCACTCTTTTTCCTTACAGGTTGTGAAAGATCTTCTGACGAAGGAGGAGCTTCAAATTTACCAAGGTAATAGAACACGTAGTATAGTGTGTTGTTTGTATCGATAACTGATGCGTTTGTTGTTTCACACTCCGTAATGTTATACCTATACAAACAGCGGTTGTAAATAATGAAGCTCCTACAAAGCAAACTAGTGATCAACAGCATCAGCATCGATCTACGCATTTGGGATACGATGACATGTGTCAACCAAGTCGGCGACCTGACCACCCGATCCAGTTAGTCGCCTCTTACGACAAGCATGGGTTACTGAAGACCAGTTCTAAATCTTCAACGCTCATCCGACGTGTGAATGTATGTCACACGATTGACAATAAGACCTGCGAATCCATATACATATATTCTTATAGGTTTGTTTCTTGTTTAATGCCGCGCTCAGCAATGTCCAAGCAACATGGTGGCTGCTTGTGAATACAATCTCCCAAAGCCGATGGTACAATTCCGGCTATATCAGGAGCAAGTTTGTTTGTTGAACGCCGCACTCAGCAATCCTACAGCTGTATAGTCCTAACTGCCAGTTCACCTGATGAAGGGACCTGGAATGGTCTCGAAACGTCGTGAGAGAAATTACAAAGAAGTTTAATCCATAAAAATATCTTGGACATCAATGTACAACTTCTAAATGCCACTGAAAGTCATGTATAACGACTGTCCTTAAATTACCAATGGACCACTGCCCCACTGGTTTCACAACACATTTTCAGAGCCACGTACGATGTGCGGAAATTACCGATGTTTTGCGAATGCAAATTGATGAAAGGGAGATAACTCTAAATTTGTTTTCCTTGTCTGCTGTTGTCAGTATTGGCTTATTGCCTAACTCTGGTATCTACTCCTTATTAAGAGTCACACTTTCAGTTTTTCACCTGTACATAACCTGGCCCAGGCAATCATGTGAAATCGAAAAAATGATGCATACCATCACAGAACGATGACGTACAATCAATCAAATAAGCTAGCCTGATCCATATGATCCTATTACGAGGTTGCTGTGGACCCATTACATGTATGACCTAATACTTCGTATCATTTAGATAAGCTAAGAATCAATGAACATGGGTGTATTTCATAACTCAAGCCGACAGCGTTAGTCTGGAAGCAGCATCCGTTAATTTCAAGGTAGGTGATATATTTGATGCGTGGAGATAGATTAATGTAGTCCATAGCCACGTTGTACCGTAGTGAGGTCTCAGTAACGTAACAGGCCTTTCAGAACATACGTTGCTGACAACTTAAACCTGTTCTACCTTTGGTTCCTGCAGCAATTTTAAAGCTTTTAGCCAAAAATGAGCGCCACAAAAAGGGGTACAAAAATACTATATCAAATTATAGGCGCGCAGAGTCTTTAACTAGAACTCGATAACATGGAAGCATGCTCATGCTTTGAAAGTTTGGTTTGGCGGAAATCACACCTCTCCTTACATCTTGCTTCGCGTATCCCGCAGTCTTTTTTCAACGAAGACCAATGAATTCTAAGCATACTGTCGTCCAATCGCAGCCTACGAGACATCGGCCAACGCATTCAGGTAGACAGGCGCCCAGTCAACCGTTAGGTATGACTTAATGTGACATTACGTTTCCATTCTTCTGCTACACAAGTTTCAAAGACATCTATACAGGCTCTGTCTATTTGCGTCGAGCAGCTAATTATGTTCCGGACTTCAAACTGGATCCGTGTGATAAATATTAAGGATGTCACTGTTATTTGGCGTATTAATATCGGTCTCAGTAGACTCATTGACTGTCTTTGTTGTTCTGGGGCAGAGCATATCCAGGACATTTTACACTGATTGGTCTGGCGTAAAAGACTGAAAAGACAGGTCAATATACAAAGACACGTCTTAACCCGCACATAACCGTCTCAACATTCATCAACTCAAAGTAATTTATGGAGCCAGTTTGAAAGTCAAACTCCTTCCAAAGATAGTTTACTAATAGCCATTCCTTCACCACGATTATTTACAACCAGGCCAGCAATATTTTTGTCAGACGCTAATCTGCAGAGTCTTACACAGACACTTTAATGAACACACGAGGGAGTCATTTAGCAAGATACAGCTGATCACACACTTGTAGTCTGGTATGTCCCAGGCGTGCTGTAACAGATGACACCTCAACTCTAACATATACAGACCTCGTGCGATCCGTGTGTTAGAAATATCACAAGTTAGAATCAGTAATTTGCTATTCAGGAAATGTACAGTGTATGTACAGACTTAAGCATGTTGAGGAGGTTCTACGATATGACGTATGTCTAGGAATTTAAATGTCATGAAACTGTATAATTAATAATAAGGCCACTTATATAGCGCTGAACTCCACGGGCATGCTCTAGGGGCACACAGCATAATGGACATTATTACCTCGGATAACCCATGCTGTTAGGCACTAGAAGGTTAATAGTCACACGACTAATCCCACCGGGTACCCATTTTCTGCTGGGTGAATAGAGGCAATTTCGAACAAATTCACTTGCCAAAGTTGAGACCACATATGTCTCGTTTGTTTCGTTGTTGGGCAGCACTGAAGTCCCAGAAACGCTCAGGATCCAAGCTGACAAACACGGTCACCAATCAAAAGACTCTCCAACGTTCTTAACTTCAACAGATTTGGGACCTGGGCTGTACGCAGAAGACCACACACCACGTGCACCATGCAAAGCATGAGTTGACAATTCATGAAACTATATTGGCATCATGCTAAAAGTATTCAGTTATCTTAGCAGTTGTTTGGTTCGTGTACATGATCACAATGAATACCAATTATCTGTGCGTGTTAACCATATTTGCATTTGCGACTGTCTGAAACCAGTCTGTGCTATATGATTCCAGCGGGTGAAGTCAAACAAAATGTTGTTTTCTTGAAGCCATTAACGACTCGAATGTCCTGAGTCAATTATTTACCTAAGACCCAGCACTGAATAATAAATGTGGACACTGGGCCTGGTTATGTGTGTTTATTGGTGGTAAACGCCGTCATCACCAACAATCAAGCTGTATCAAGGCGGTCTGAACATAATCGAAGTCAACAAAAGTATTAACGTGCAATAGTGTCATTGGATAACCCAGTATATACATTTGCCTCTTGCGCCCAAAGAAGTCTTTTGCGGCAGATCAAGTGTTGTGTATCTATTTTTTATCAAGATATCTGCACTAAGATGCTCCAAGGCGACATCGACACGGCTACTCACAGGCATGATCTTGGAAACGTTGGTAAGTTACATTTCTCTACAGAATAAAATGTGTACATTCACATGAGCGCATTAACGAATGACTACAGATAGCCCACCTTAGTTACAGGTGAGCGTTCCTGTTAAAAGCTGTCTGAACGACGGGATTTACTAAAAATGATTTGGTGTTCGTGCGTAAGGAAAAGGAATGTTGCTCAATGCTTTATAAATATTCAGATGAATGTCAGTGAGTGAGTGAATGAGTTGTGTTTAAGGTCCACACTGGCGTTCTCTAATTTACAGAGCCAAATTCAGAACTACTGGCAGCAAGGCCCAAAGTAACCTGCTGGGCAAAAGACGGTATATTCAGGTGTATACTTTCTTTGTCCGACAGTATACCCTGGGCCGTGCTGACTGTAGTGCATTACATGAACTTTTGACTTCGGCTCTGTACAATTACTGAACTCCAGATCCTACAATTTACATCAACTGATCGTTTCCGTAATTTCTTACGACTACCAAGGGGTTCCTGACACCTGTACCGACCTAAATCCCCTAGAGGAACGTTTGTAGCGTGGTAATCAGTTAACTCAGACACACTGAGAACAACAGAGGCAATTTAGCTTTGTTGCTGGAAACAACAGCCTGACCATGAACGACTTCAAATATTCAGTGTGTCTTCCCCTAAAAGGTACAATCACTTTGAGAAGACGAATCGGTTGACCCCAAAACGCCTAGACATCGTCCATCGACTCACATGAGAGAGCGGCTGCAAAGATATACATCAGTTTGGAAAGACCCTTTCAGTGTAATTGTTTGGTGTGTTGCACTGACGGGATAGGTCATTGGTGTAATCTAGTGCATGCTGGATAATAATTTATTACCAGTGTTGATCCCCATGGTAAGATGTAGCCCGAAAGTATGCAGGTTTTACGTCTTTGGTACAACCAATAAGCATGAGTATGGTGCTGGAAGACCAAACGGGATTCGAATCAACGATCGTAGGTGCGTCGCGTCCCCATCTGCACGGCGAATTAACGACTGGACCACCCGTGATGTAAGGTACATATGTTTACCCCTAGGATGTCCTATTTAACAAATATATAAAAGAGACATACTTCTGTGGTATTGCTTGTGATGTGCATGCTATCTTATCCTCTGATAATATTGTGTTATAGAACTTGGGTTCGGGTGGTCTAGATTAAGTTTGTAGCGTCGCCTTTTCGTGTCAGGATCCGCTGACAGTGGACTCGACTGCTAGATTCGCCCTGATTATGTGCTTTTTTTAGCGTGAATTTGCTTGTGAGTTTTGAGAAGAGCAGAACGTACTGGACTCAAACACAGCCTGATAAAGCTGAAATAATATAAAGCTGCGGAATAAAGTACTCATTTCGCTCAGTGTAAATCCTGAAGCTGTAAAAGAAGCATTTGTACTAGAATGGAAAATACTATAATGATATCCATTCGTAACACGCAGCTATTTCCGTCAGGAATTATTTGCTGGAAAGAACAGAATACAATGCGCAGTCCGGATAATGTGTCTAAGTGGGTAACCATGTTACACTCTGGCATCATAGCCCAATGGGCTGGGACTATAAAACCGTCATTAGACCGGACTTGTACAAGCAAACAGACACATGCATGAACTTGTCTATGTAAGAGCAATTATGGTCAACGATATGTTCAACCTCCTGTCATGTCACCTCGCAAACATTTATTGCTACAAAGAGTATCACTGAAAATTGACCCTGGGATATCCTGGTGGTTCCACTCGACTTCCATCCCCGATGTGTACAAAGTGTGAAAAACATTTCTGGCACCACCCGCAGCGATATTGCAGGAATGTTGCAAAAAGGCGGCGTAAAACCAGAATCACTCACTGCAGCATTAAATAATCTTCCCAAGCTGTTTCCGTACTTATACGCTGATGAAGAATTTATAGAGGACATTCATCTTTCTTTGATGGGCATTTTAAAAGTTGAGTTGATGAAGAATAATGACAATTATTATGGATACACAACTGGCTTCCTATCAGTTGTATAAGTTCTAATTCAGTCCTTGTATGTCACCCTACTGGCTTCCTATCAATTTACTCAATCTCTCATACAAACGTTGTACATCAACCTCATCTATTGTATAAACAACTCATTCCCTATCTACTGTAACAACAACTCCTGTATATATTCTCTCAATTTGTTACTCATGTATCACTTGCTTGACAACGACATTAGAATCTATGTCGAAACGTCGCCTCCACAGAATAAAAGAAGTTGAATATCCATAATAATTGTCTTTATTCGACATTCATCTTATGTTAATGTCTTCCCAAATGTGTGATTTCACTATGTGCATATTGTTCCTAACACCGATTTAACTGATTGATATTGTCCCGGCACCCTACGTGGATTTGTTTTTAAGTTCCAAGAAATAATTCCAGCAATGTCAGTTCCACAAGTTGTTATTCTACTTTCTCCATTGTGTCGAAATTCCACTTCACTTTTTCCCCATGTTTCTTTTACAAAGTTAGTCTGCAGAGTGAAGTCATCGATCAATGTCTGTTTCTTCTTTTCCAGCTGAACAAAAGCAACCTCACATAGAGAACATTTGTCAGATACTTTGGCCAAGTATGTATGTGAGGCACTTGGATGAGGTAGGTACAGATGATGATATATATAACCTTTTTAACTCGAATATGTTAGTTTGAGACGACGTACTTCTGTGGTTGAGGTTGAGCAGAGATCTGTTATCGGTGCTCCGCTTGTTTTAACATAATACTTGTATGGACAGCGCGTCGAAACACCCACAGAAACATTGCAGTGTAGAGTTGCGTCCCTTTGGCGTGCCAGGAAATTGTGATCATGGGCTAAAATTCCGATTCGCCCTGGATATGTGTTTTTGACAGCGTCATAATCGAGCTTTAGGGTTTCACAACAGTAAAAGTCAAGCATCACTTCCTCCTTCCTCATCAACTTGACTCCCTCCTGATATAACTGAAGCACTTATGAACGCGACGTTAAAGCCAGCACTCTTCACTGCCACTCCGGAAACTTTCGGTGACACATCTGGGTTATTAATGTCCACCATTAATGTCCACCACAAATGGACATGACTCCCCGCTAGTGATTCGTTAATCCCAGACTGCCATGGTAATCGTTTCAGGGACCTGTACACAGACGAGTGTTGGCTATTGCCCACTGCCTGCTTGGGGAGGACATTGTGTTCGACCACGATATGATTCTAGCGAAGGTAACGTTCCGTCTATGACATATTTCTGGAGGTATGGGATATGCTTGAATGTGGACTCATAATACATTCTGTTTTAGAATATCCAGCATGTATTTTTGTAAAACATGATGACATATATTTTTTAATCATCAGAATGAGTCTGTGAGCACCGCTTCAACACTGTTCCAAAAATTTCACGGCGGGGATTGTATGGTTTTTCGCTGCCTTTACGGCTAGGAACACAAGAAATTGGCTTCACACATTGTAACCTTTGGGGAAGTAGAAGCCCGATCCTTGTCGTGACGAGCGAACGCTTTAACCATTATGGCACAGACGAACGGGCGTCACAAAATGTATCAATTTTGGAATCGAACCTGTTTTTTCGGGCCGACTAACGCACGCTCTCACTCTCGCTAGGTTACCCCACCTCCCCTGAAGTAGTCACATTAAAAGTAAATGTTCGTGATCATGATGATGATGGCAACAGTGAGATTAACAAAAAATATTTTTTCGTTGATGAAATATAAGATGCATCATGTTACTGATTATCTCCCATAAAGTGACGTTTACATGTTGTTCAAGGGACACGGGGACCGCAGTTTCCACGTACTTAGTCATATAACCACCACGATCACTAATGCACGCCCAGACTAGAGTGAGTGAGTCAGTTTAGTTTTACACCGCACTCAGCAATATTCCAGCTATATGGCGGCGGTCTGTAAATAATCGAGTCTGGACTAGACAATCCAGTGATCAACAGCATGGGCATCAATCTGCGCAATTGGGAACCGGTGACATGTGTCAACCAAGTCAGCAAGCCTGACCACCCAATCCCGTTAGTCGCCTCTTACGACAAGCATGGGCTACTGAAGATCAATTCTAACCCGGACCATCACGGGTCCCAGACTAGAAGTCATCGAAGTCGTCAAGTACCTGTCAATCAGTTGCCACATGGGGACAATGTGCGAAGCCCATTTCTGGTGTCCCCTGCCGTGATATTGCGTAAATATTTCAAAAAGGGGCGCAAAACCATATTCACTCACTCCTCGTTGCTGACCAGTTGTGGATGCTACTGTGGTGGTTGTACACGCATTCTGACCTGGGTGTCCAGATGATCTTGGTTGAACGGCCACGTCCTGAGCAACCATAAAATCCCGCAGTGTGCGCTTTGGCGTTATCGTGTTGTAAGAGTGTTCATTGCTCAATGCGAAGGCATGATAACACCAAGGGTTGAAGAACGTCATTCCTGTGGATCTGGTTGGTGGTTGCCGCGGATGATTAAAAGTCACGTCAGTTAGTTGCCATAAATTCCTCCAAAAAACATCACCATGCCGTCCACATATGAACGCAGTCTGGCGCCAACAGTTCCACCTGCGACCATAAATCCAAGCACGACCTCGATTATAAAATAAACGGAATCTGCTTTCGACAGTAAAAATCTTTCTGTCAGTAACGATTCTACTCGTGTTGCACTGTATTCTCCCAATGCCTTGCTCGACCTTGGTGTTGATGAGTAAAGGCCATTCAAAGGAAGAGGCGGTGGGCTCGAACATTTCCAACATGGACGACGAAGCACTGTGCGTGTATTGATGTGGCTTCCGAACATTTGTGCTGTCGTTTCCGTCGTTGAAACGAACCTGTTGCGTAACTGGCGGTCACTCTCTGAGCGAGTGAGTGTTGTTTGACGCCTCTTTTAGCAATAATCCAGCAATATTACGGTGGGAAACATTGTACCCATGTGTGGGATGGAACCCAGGTCTTTGGCGTGACAAGCGAACGCTTTAACCACTACGCTACCCCACCGCCTCGTCATCCGCTGACATCGTTATTGACCGCCTGATCTGTCATGATGTCGTACTGTGTGTCTCAAACAATCTGACGATGGTTGTACGTGGTAAATTAGTTTCTTGCAATCTGGGTGGGGATGACACAAAATTTGACTCAGTCATACCCGCCTTTCCATTTTAATTTGACAACGTTCCATTCCATTTTACCATTTCTGATGTCTGATAAATATTCGCTTAAAATTGCATGCGCATCCTTTGCTTTGGTGCAGCAAGGTTTTGATACAGTTCTTTTGCCTGACAGTTTACGACGACCCTGGAAAATACTTGACACAATTTTCATCCAGTCCTGTCTGTAGTGAGTTCGAAAAGAACGGTACAAGAATGACATTTTCAGTAAAGTTCGATTAAAAATCTTCAATAAAATCTTAACACGACTTCGGTAAATATGAGAGCTGCTGAAGCAAAAAGCCCGACCTGCTTTACACACATCGTGTTTCGTGTGGCACCTACTTTTCCATCACCGTTCAAACACTTCAATGCTGACGAGAGGTCCTAATTAACCTGCGTTACCTCAGGGGATTGTTCATAATTCAATATTTAGAATAATGCATGTGTTTTCCTGCTGTAGGCGCCGTTCACCGACACGACGACCCCTTGGCATCAAGATGAATCCTATTGGCCTGTTGTGGCGGACAAAAGAGCTCTCATGTGTTGGGTAGTAGAAAGTAGTACTAATTACGTTACTTGGCGTAATTGATTCCTATAATACTCTGGTCGATAACATTTATATTTCACATTTTAACTATCAACTCGAGGCCTGTGAGACAAATGATCATGTTGGAAATGGTTTCTGTCACGATCTGATAGAAGGTCGCGAGAATTGATGAATACCAACCTACGTAAAACTATTGTTAATTAACGTGAACCTTTTTTTAGTTACCCGCAAACTCGGCGTTCACATTTCAAAATACTTACGCTTTGATCGAAAACTAATCTTTTCCAAGGCTCGGGAAAGGTACAACAAAGGTCGGATTATTGTAATACGTGATGTGTCGTGTCAGACAACATTTTAGAATACAATTACTGATTGGTCGGAGGAAGTACTATACCCATAAACGCAATATGCACTGACAATACGCACTCATGTGTTGCGAATGCTTCTTGATGACATCAATAGGAAGTATGTAAATGCTCCGAATGACGCGATTTCCATTATCTTTTCTCGTAGTGAAAAAACGAAACATCCAATCAGTAACATCATGCAACATCCTGGCATAAGTTGAAACAATAAAAGTCGGTCTCAATGGGCTTGAAAACGAAATACAATCTTTGCAATGCGAAAAAACCCCAGAACCGACCTTCCTGAACAAAATGGGTATGACATATCCAATTTATATTTCCAACCAGAACTAAACCCTCTCATGTCAATGCACGGAAGGAAAATTGCTCTGTCAGACTTGACAAAAAAATCACAGACCCTTGATAAAGACGTCACTCCATCTTGTCCCAAAAGGGATGTCATCTTAAGACTTCATCGAGGTTTTGTTTCTTTGACAGACAGCTTTAGACAATGCCGTGAAAGACAACGGATGCATGTGGTTTGGGAGAGGATCTCATAAGGGAATGTTGCGTGTACACACGCCTGTCAAGGAGGGTTGCCATCTTCTTTCTTGCGAAACATACGAGGTATTGTCAACACTTGTAGTGGATGCAATATTGAAAATATTTTTACATGAGAGGTGACGGTGTAATTTATGAAAATAAGGTAATATTATGAAAATAAGGTAATATTATGAAAGAATTTACTATAAACCCAGCCTGTCATGTAGTTTCTGTTTGAAGTTGTATTGTTTGTCCACAAGCAAATGCACAGAAGATGGTATGGATCGAATACCATTCACTTTAAATCTCCAAAACATGAAAATATGATATCAGTATGTGCGACTACACCTCAGTTACAAACTTATCCACAAGTGATAAACACTCTCAGGTGGACGTTGCATGAGAAGTTCAGTACACGTGACATCCAGTGAAAAATGTTTCAGGCACGGTTTAACACCGAAGTATCCTTAATTTGGGATAAACGGTGGCCCGACATACATTCGCAAACGTGTTGGTTCACAAATTGGCTCATGGTTAAATGTTCTCTTGAAGATGGAAAAATCCCTCTTTTACGCTCATGTGACTCATTCTTATGGACTTTTACCTACGAAGTTAAAAACTTGGAAGTGTACCAATGCTCCAATTTCAAAATGTCTCATAATTCATGTACCGTTATTACAAAGTGTCTTTAGAATTTGACATTTCACTTGAGCCAAGAAATCAACCCTTCCTTTAAAGGCATATATAAATACAGATAATATACAAACATATGTCATTAATCTGTTATTAATAACCAATGTCGACACAGTAAAACCAATTGGGCAAAAGAAACTCGTTTTTTTTGAGAACGTTAGTACAAATAATGGGGTGCCCTGGCGAGCACACACTGAGCCGACCATCTATGCAACCATAATAATCTGTTGTGCGAAAGCTACCTCCCTTCGGCATACCAGGGTCTTATAATCGTTATTTGATACTCAGCTATGTTTACATTAATAATGGTCTGGCTAGGTTACAACTGTTCAGGTTTTTGTCATTTGAATACACATGGGTGTTCAGAGCGCAGTATTTAATGTATTAAAATCTCCCTCCAGAGTGACGACATGGTATGCGTGGAAATTCCGGCTGGGTCATGTACATTTCATCATGCTCGTACGCTGCACTATACACGTGGCAATGCAACCAATCAAATGAGACGAGCTATTGTGACATCATACAGGCCAGCCGCCATGTTGAAGGAGTTTCAAAATGTGGGTCACGACCACGGAAAAAGAGTTTGTAGTTCAATTTCAGGGCATACAAATAATAAAGAGGATTCGTGTATGATTAATGGTTGAGCTATAAATACCGTTCCAGATATGGTAAATTCCAGAATATAATAACCATATTTAAAAATTCTAATCTATTAAGTTGTTACGAATCGCAGTTTTGTATGTGTACAAAAATATATACTCATGTCGAAATATAAATGCTAAATATAGATGTAATCTCACCTCACCTCACTTCCATCTCGCCTAATCACACCATACCTCACCTACCCCATCTCACATACTGTAAGTCATTACTTTCAGGGTCTGAAGAGTGTACTGTTGACTGGCCAAACCCATGGATGGCAGGATAAAATCTGAGACATCATTTTTCAACGTGGGCCGAATATTTGACATGCATTTAATTAAGATATTGATGTATACCTCCAAATGCAATTCCAAAGGTCGAATGCTATATTGGTCACATTTCCAAAATAAACAGAAGTCAGAATCGTTGCTTCATTTCTTATTTAAGCAACTGAAAAATAACCAGAAACGTAAAATGTCAAAGGTAAAGGTCAATGTCAAGAACACCAATACCCCGTCTAAACATACATCATGAACAGGTCTGGAAGAATGTCTCTGCCTTGACGGGAGGAAAAACAACTCAGTCAGGCTTCTCTTCAGATTCCAGCCTAATTAACAAACATCTTGTTACTGGACAAACCCGACTGGCCATTTAATCCCCTGGATTATTGCAGGAACCCTCATGATCACTCAACGTCCAGAAAATCTAATCATACACATCTTTTGGAAGACCCATGTCTTCGAAAACTCCCAAACATAGCCAAGTGTTGTGCAGTTATTAGGCGTGAACTTTATGCTTAATACCTGTTTTCGTCGGTTTTCATAATACAGGAAATCTTTTGCCAGTATGCAGTCATACTTTCTGTCATTACGTGTTTTTTTTACAACTCTGATATGTGAAAAGATTACTGTTCTACTGCCTTGTCGTAAGCTAGTATTGAAAACAGAGATGCGTGCAAAGCCAATTATAATACGTTTGTGTCTTTAAGTTGACAGGTAAAAATGGGAACTGACGTGCAAGAATAGGCTTCTTAAATGCTGACATTCTAGATTTAATGAGTTTGTCAAAGAAGATCACAACAAGGTCACCGCAATGTGTGGCACAGTCAACTAGTGTAAACTGACACTAGTTGACCGTGGCACTGTGTAAACTGACATTAGTTAACTGTGCCACTGTGTAAACTTACACTAGTTGACTGTGCCACTGTGTAAACTTACACTAGTTGACTGTGCCACTGTGTAAACTTACACTATTTGACTGTGCCACTGTGTAAACTTACACTAGTTGACTGTGCCACTGTGTAAACATACACTAGTTGACTGTGCCACAGTGGAAACTTACACTAGTTGACTGTGCCACACAAAGCAGAGACCTTGTTGTAGTACCTTGGGCATGTACTTTTGATTCTATGTCTTACGTCGGGTAACATGTATAAAATAATTATATAAGATTATAGAAGTAAACCCTTTCATTTAAGTGCACGAAATTCAAATTGTTCTGTAAGATTTGACAAAATAAATTGAACATATTTAATATGAACCAAAAAACGAAAATGAAAAATAATTGATGCCTGCTCAACGGTGCCAAACAATGCAATCACATGTATGTAAATTAAGCTCCCAATGAAGCATATATCCAAAGCTGCATTATAAGCGATCTATGGTTAACAGGCTCACACTACCGGGCATTCATTCCCAGCTGACCCGTGAAGGTCCGGGCTAGAATGAACCTTCAGTAACCCATGCTTGTCGTAAGAGGCGACTAACGGGATCGGTGGTCATGCTCGCTGGCATGGTTGACACATGTCATCGGTTCCCAATTGCGTAGATCGATGCTCATGCTGTTGATCACTGGATTGTCTGGTCCAGTCTCGATTATTTACAGACCGACGTCATATAGCTGGAATGGCCAAGTGACAATATGTTATCCCTGCAAGGTCAAAACATATTTTGATCAAGGACCACGCTGTAGAAGTAGATGTCATAACAAAATCTGTGTTAGCCACGATAGCTGATGTGGTTCCCAGCCTCACCCATTATCGATATTACCCAGACACACCGTTACACAACAAGGTAATATTACATATCATCTGTCGTATAAAGGGCAAATTGGAATTGGCTTCCATCACCCAAGTCTCACTATTACCCTCTGGCATATAACACAATCCAAATTCAGGCCTCTGGAATACAACACAATCTCCTTATAGTGGTCTTAACTGAATACCTTTCTCCACAAAACAGCCAGGTTTGGTACCTTCCTCCTAAGTCTCCATCATCCTCAGTCTTATCGACAAGCACCAATGTATTCGTGTAAAATCTGAGCCAGATCTTGACGTTCAGTTAGATTTACGGTTCCTTCTTTGAAATAAACATCTAAAAACGAGGTGCTCTACGGTCCCTTTGGCTATTTCATGCAACAACTTCAATTAGCCTACCTAACAAGGAAACATTACTGCATTTAATGGATAGACTCCGGGTTGGTTTTATTAGATACTTTGGACTCTGTATTTTATCCGTAAAACATGTTTCATCGAGACTAAGTAATGCCTGAAAAGGTTATATAGGGAAGGAACGTTGGCACTATACCCAGGGGCTTGAAAAAGAAAGAAAAAATACTATGGTTTGCCGCAGCTAATTTTCTGACCGGAGGGATCGGCCAACAACTATGGATTGACATAGGTAATGAAACTGTTTTTTGCTTACGCAGGGCTCCAAGAGACTTGATGTCTTAACTGGCTACTCCACTGTACTATACTGAGCCTGGTTATTACTAAAACAAGGAGTGGGATATATTGGCTTCAACGCACGGCGGCTTAAAAAATTGACCAATTTGCAACATCAATGGGCAGCTTTTCACGTATCCCATTCGTGGGTGGACTGGAGTGGAATGGCGTCTGTCTTGCAGGGTTGTAATTGAATTCATCAAATATATAAGTTTAACAGTCCCTAAACTTAATTGTCTTGCAGCTTTTTTGGAACATCATTTGTCAGTGACTATTTTCTACATCCTGTACCAGGCATATGCACTTTTCATTTTAATCCACTGAGTGATGTAAATTTAGTGCAGCCGTCGAAAGACTGTACTTTACCAAAACCACTTACGCCAGCCAACACATACGGTATACATATTCATTCCATTCAGTTCGACTGATGCAATTTTATATGAGACCATCAAAGAGTCCATCAATGCCTGATAACATGGGTACAGATTTTCCTATTATCCTGGTAAAGCTAACTGTCAGTGTGGGGGTTTCAGCTCATAGATCCAGAGAAGCTTTCACATGATTTACAACGTCTATTCAAGCAATGTTACACCATGTGCTCAAGTTATGGCAGTTTTACGATCGCCACTTGATCCACTGTATTCAATAGACAGGAACAGAATATAAGGCTCTTATCTCAGCTATTCCACCATGATTTGATTAAGTTTACGACGCCTTCAGTGATTCAATTAAAATCAAAGGCTGCCATCTCCTTAAATCAAGTCATAAGGGTCTCTCTGAAACCATACTGCACTGTAGAAGAGTCGTCTTCTAATTTCCTTAATGAACTCTTCGTTTCTGATCACCACACACTGAGAATTACATAGCGTGTATTGGGCCCTAGGGAAGCAATCGTGGTAAGTGTTCTAAGTTTTAAAACTGTTTCGTTTGTGGACAACGAGGAGGATTACGGCATTCTCAGATGGAAATTATATTGGCGAGTTTGCCCATAAAGGTAGCGTTGTCCTAAAAACAAGCGATAGTTATATAATATTGAGCCTTTATGTGAGAAAGTTTAGTGTTGTCGTCTTAATGAGAGAATGCTCATAACGAATCAGGTGGCGATATTGACAGAAGTGATTATCCTGTTTTAATGACGTTATTGACAGAATTGATGGCCTCATGGTAATTCAGGGGAATTAATCTTGTTTTTATGATAGCGAGATAATCAGAAGGATTTGCAATATGGACAACTGGCAGGGTAACTATTCTGAATTCGTGTATATTGTATCGGTGGTATTTGTAATGAAGGGATGGAGATTCTAAAGTTGAGGCGGAGTTTGCGGAAAAGTTACAAGGTTGAATTGTCGATGACAGTTAGGAAGATGATGATGATGGTTATGGTGTTTATTGTAGTAACGGAAGTTACTGAAAGCAACTGAAAATTGTGATTGCCATATCCTGGGGATAGTAACTGACCCGTTTCTGGGGAAGTAATAAAGCGACTTAGCCAACACAGTGACTCGTTCATAAATATATCAGCTGACCGTTCATACACAAATAGGCTGTCCCATACTTAAACTGTGCACCCGTACACAAATTGGCTAACCCATACGTAAATTGGTTAAACATTAGCTACCCGTAATGGCTAAACTACCCACATACTGGCTTCACGTCACAAATGGGTTAATCCGAATATGCAACATGTTCACAAGTTCACTAACCTTTTAAAAACATCACTAATCCATACACACATTTGCTAATTCCTACAAAGTCACATGTTGGTTGATATGCGAATAAAACCAAGGAATCTTTTCGGACTTCGCTGTAAATTACCCTCGAGGATAACAAAATATCAGATATAAGTATGTAAAGATCTAAAGATCGATACAATTGCAAGGTTTCCAATTAGGGTATAGCCAATTTGTCAGACTTTCACGTTCGTGGTGGCAGAGTAGGTTAGACAGCTGACTTTGTGTGCTGGCGATTAGGTGCCTGAATCGAAGTGCGGCTTCGAATCTCATATGTGACTCAAACCCCAAAAAGTATTCTACATTATTGAGAAAGTGTAATCCCAAAAATAGCACATGTGAAAACATACTGTATAATTCTACCCTTAAACTAATAGTATAACAACATACCTAAAATCAGTGATTAAAATTAGGTGTTAGATGGAAGTATCACTGTGTTAGTTCCCAACTGACTGTGCTGGACTATATTGGTGCGCACATTCCAGGCTAATGCAATCTTCAGGTGCCTCTTGAGAGAAGAGACTATTATACAGTCGAACCCCGTTTACTCGGACCCCGTATATCCGGAAACCTCGCCTTCCGGGCGATTTTTAGGTGAAACGAAATTTGCCTTCAGACCTAAGGCATCAAGAGCAATGGGGACTATTTGCTACTTAGGATGCAAGCGTCACATTTCGTTGGCGAGGTCCGCATATTTGCAATGTTTTTCCTGGGTCTTGTCAATCACAGCGACAGACAATTGTAAGCTACAGACAGCTTCATTTATCAAGATTAGGTTTGCTGGTTTGTATACGTCTGACCACGACGAAGCCGAATACAGGCCTAGCCTACAAAACCTTACATTTGTAATTTCCCATGACACTCTACATATTCTGGGTCGAAAGGACCTCTGTGTCAAAACCACAAGCATGGAAAAGTCCTAAAACGGTCGAGCCACGCTATCGTGTCGTTTAAGTTACTATGTCTGTGCCAGCG